GTATGGTTCGCTCGCTTTGCCCATCAGTTTGGGGATGGTATGTTGTACTCATGTCAAGTTTGGTTCCCAAGGACCTTTGCAGTGATTGCCAAAACTATGAGGGAAATCTACTATCTCTATCAGAGATAATGGATATTAGCACACCATGCAATCGTACTATCTCTTTTATGTACATCCTTGTTAACTTCTCCATTTTGTAAGTTTCTTTTATTGGCAAGAAGTGCGCGGATTTGGTTAATCTGTCAAAGATTAACCAAATGGTGTCATGACCACCCGTTGTCCTAGGTAACTTGGTTATGAAATCCATATTTATCCACCAATAGAGCTTCTTTAGGTCATACTCTCTAGATTTGACCTAGATTGAGAAAATTCAGAACCATTGGAAGAGTAGTTGCAAAAGACACTTACACTACTCAGGCACTTCGTCCACCCCGTTACTGACGAGTAATGCTTAGGACACTCCGCCTCCCAACATGGAAGAAGTCACTGTCACCCTGTAAACGATAGAATGCATTCTCCGAAGTGAATACTAGAATGTCAAGAATCACATGATAACCTCTACAACCAAGAATACTTGATTAATGTCTGAAAGTATGTTACATTAAACCTCGTAACCCAAATCCCGAAGAGATTTTAGACTCGACACCAGTCTAGGTGTTAGTCGATGGGTTATACAAGAGCAAGCTTCTTCTGCAACTGGAATAAACCGACACCTTAGAGAATAGGTCATGTCTTAGAGGTTCATTGGACTACCAGGTGTTCCAAGAATACTATATCACACGAAAATAGTAGAACTACCTCTCGAGATAGTCCAACACTGCAGAAAATATTTAAGAACTGAGTTAGCCCTGAGCAGAGATTGCTATTCATGAAACGACAAAGCAAGTAAGAGCATGATTCTTTCCTGTTAGGAATCATATTGTGAGAGCATCAACCAGATGATGATGTAATGTTTAGAAACTTTCTAAACAGCCGTCCGGTAAAACCCTATCTCCCCGACCCTGATAGTTATGTTAGAAACATCTCAAGAACCAGAAGTGCAGGTTCATTTTGCACTAGGTTGAGATTGACGCCCTGCAGCAAACAGATACCCGTAGACATCCAATTCATACAATAATCCAGAAAACCTGTAAAATCCAATCAACAGGAAACACGAATCCAAGGATAACCCGAGTCTTCTAAGAACCAACTTGAAGGACTACACCCCCAGTATGAGTGAATGTTTGGAACTTCAGAATGGCGATCATGCCAGTGATGATCTCGCCATAGAAGTACACTATGTTCCAAGTACTGAAAAGCTCTACCTTTCCGAGAGCTTAGGACCATCCGAGGTTCATTACAAAAATAGGGTCAACCCTCGTCAGACCACGACTACTTTTAGAAATTCCATAAGCTTCGCCCCGAATCAATCCACGTCTTAGACTTGAAAAGTGTTTGCCCGACGTAACTCTCTGAATCCCACTCGTCTTGATAGAAATCATTGGGGACTCTAACTTCGTATAGGAACCTGTAGGAATCACAAGCCGAGCGATCAAGTGAACGAAACGGAATCCACATCCCGTAAGTGAGGGTTTGTTAGAACGCCAAGCAAAGGCCAGAGTTCACTTGGGAGCACAAAGACCAACCTAATAGGAAGTACCCTCATCTCTCTACCCGATTGTTCATGCCTACCTCTCTACCTAAACCCTAATTTCGGGACGAAATTCCCTCTAACAGGGGGATGATGTGACAACCCGAAATTTATTCCATCACGGTAAACCCTTATTCCGCTAATAAAACTTGTTTTATTTGTTCCGTTAACCTTTTTGCATTAGGTTAATTACATTGGGACTTTTACTATAACTTCATACGTGTTCTAAACGCAGTAGAAACATGTGAAAAGCCCTTGATACACTTTTTAAAAGTTTCTAATTCACGACCCCGACAAGTTACAACCATTCAATCGGGTACGACCAAAAGCCCCGTTCAACGTCAGTATCGGGTAGATTTCCACCGAGCCACAAACTCAAACCCTATATAAGGGTGAGTGAACCTCATTTACACCTTTTTCACTCTCTCTCTCTCTCTCTCTCTCTCTCTCTCTCTCTCTTCTCTCTCTCTCTCTCTCTACAAGTTGCTTTCGATCCAAAAACGCCCATTTCGAGCTCCATAAATGTAAGTAATCTATCCTACCTTATTGTTTAGCTTGATATACCTTCAAATTTGTGTTTAAATCATCCAAAAACCATCATAAACATGTGTTTATGGCCCAAGAACACTCTTGGACTGCAAACACTCATAAATGGGGTTTTGAAGCCCCAAAACCCTTCCAAATCACTCATAGGGCTTAGATACCACTTGTGGACTTGCATGTATGAGCTTAGATCACCAAAACCTTGTATATTGAGGAGTAAACAAGAGTTTACAACCCAAGATCACTGTTAGACCGTAAACCCCTCTTCTTGGTCCGTGAACACGAATTAAGGTGTTAAATTTGACCTTAAACACCCCCTTTGGCTTGGAAAAATGCATAGAACCTTATACTCTTTCATTTAAGACCTTAAATCATGAGTTGGAGGACCAAGTGAGAGTTTACAGCCATAAACTCTATGTTTACAGCCGTGAACTCCCTTAAATGGTTCATTTGGAGCCTTAACCCCTTCATATGCCCTAGATGTGAACCTATCCTAATTCTACGAGCGATATAAGACCTTAAAACATCTAAGAACAAGGTCTTAGGGCCGAAATCTCCATAAAGAGTTTACTCTTGAAGAGTAAACTCCCTAACTAGGCCATACACTCCCTTATTGCAACCCAATAGCCTCCTAGCACTCGACCAAAGTCTTTTCCGCTCATTAGGATGCTTATTCATGTTTAAATAGCATTAAAATCACTAATTGTGTGTAAACATATGTCATCATATGTTACTAGGTCATTAAGTGTGTTCAAGTCTTTACTTGATACCGAGCACTCGACTGACACTTCCATCGGATCCACTAGCCACAGGTGAGTTCATACCCCTGAATTAACCTTTTAAAAATGATATTAACTGCTTTTATAAGGGGGAATAGAAGTTGAACTGTACATTTATTAGATAAATTGCATGTGATTATTAACTATATAGCAAACTAGACTTTTTCATGTTAATTGTTTTAATCAAATTAAGATTTTCAAATCTTGTTAAGTATGAATATCTATTTTTAGATCATTAAAGGTTATCCAAAGTTTTCCAAAGTGCGTTTGCTAAAGAGACATCCAGTTGTAATGACTTATTAAAGGTTTTCTTCACTAAAATTGTTTTATAAAAACCCTTTTCAAAGCTTGTTTTACAAAATGACATCAAGTCGTAGATTTCTTAAGTATAAAGGTTTTACTAAAGTTTCTTCTATGTTTTTATTTCGTTAAATGCATGTCTATATTTGTATAATTATATAAATAATGTTTAAAGGACTTAGGAAGGTTAGTTCGCCCTATTTCCTTTTCCTTGTTGGGATGTGGTCTGGTGGGTATCGGGCATCCATCCGAAGGTCGTTTAAACATTAATTATGTATCACGTATACATATATGGACATAAAAGCTCTCTCTCTCTCTCTCTCTCTCTATATATATATATATATATATATATATATATATATATATATATATATATATATATATATCTTTTAGCTAGTTCATCGCCTTTGGGTAGTAAAGGCAACTTTCTATTATACACGTTTCTAGAACCGTAATAACTATTATAGGAATGGTTAGGAGACTCTATCTCTATATCTATCTCTATCTCTATCTCTATCTCTCTCTCTCTCTCTCTCTCTTTTGATTTAGAATGTGACACACTATTTCCTTCTACGACGCTTCATTGCGTCAACGTCGTGTAACCAGAGTCTCCGGGAAGGAGAGCTAACATCATGTGTATAGATATATACGGGACTGACACTCCCACACCCAGACTACTAGCTATAGTCCGCGTCGGTAAGGCCCATGGGTGACATAATGCACTACCTCTACGCGTGACCTGGAGGGTCATCAGATACTCTATTATCGATCAGCATGGTTACATTCGAGTTCATATTCACCCTTTTGTTTTAGATTTTGCAAGGTGTAGGGTTCCTTCGATACTGTTTGGATTTTGTGCTTCCTTTTATTAGACTGAGCCAGGCATATCAATTATTTGATATTCTCCTGGAGTCTATGTTTTCATTTGCTTTTAGTGAGCAGTATTACTGCTGAAGTATATTTTATTTTCCCCTAGTATTTTTACTTGTGTTTTCTCATATTTCCTTTAAAGTCAATATTGTATTTTCGTAATGATAGTATTTTGGGGAAAATTACACTTTAAAACATAAACCTCTCAGGTCTTGGTAAAAGACTTCTTTTATTTAGAAAATATAGGATTTTCTGGAAAGGACGCTAATACACCATAGATTCTAAACTACTATCCTTCATAAAGTTATTTTGAATAAAAATGTGTATTTATAGAAATGACACTAAATACTTATGAACTCACCAACATTATAAAGATACTGATACTCGCTTTCAAAATAACCTTGATTTGAACAGCCAAGCATAACTTTTATTAACAGACTTCTTGACTTGATGTTTGGTATCATGAAACATCTTCATCTTTGATTTGTAGGCAAGCATGCCATCATGTTTCATGGTTCGTAATTTTTTCTTCACTTGTTGACACCCGATCTTATTCAACTCTATTAACCTGTGACAAGGTAAAGGTTTCTCCAAATCATGGGTGGTGTTATAGAGCCTATTTGCGGTATGCTCGTAGACATAATCATCAATAGTACTGATGACAAACATGTCACCACTGATTGGAGGATCATAAGTAGGTCCAAATAATAGGAGTCGCAATTAATGTTTTCCAAATATCATATCAATTGCATATTCCCGACAACGAATCGGAGCATAGATGGTTGACAAAAATGGAAGATCAATGATTACATTTGTGTGTTTGTATTTGGAAATTTTTTTAGAATCTATCGCAACAAGAAGTTGTATTTTAGGTTTTTTCAAAATTGTTGGTTAGGGGATGGTATTGGCCTCCACAAACCCCTCCCCAACTTTGGACTCTTCAACTCATGGAAATCTTCATTATACTTATCCAATTCAATTTCAACTTCTTTAATTTCAGAAATACTTTCAGTCTCTTGATTATTTAAAGATACATAATCCTCCACCACAAGCTCTAGTTCGGGTGGTGTAAGTTTATACACTTTGTTATTAAATAATTTATAACTACATGGAAAAGTTTCCTTATTCACCAACGTAGTGTCCGAAAGACTGTTTGAAAATTGTTGATTTAGTTGCTCAGCTATATGTTCTAATTGTTTCTCAATAACTGGAATTGACTTGGAGTTGTCTTCTTCTTTGTTGAAGATTTCATTCAACATGTCCAACATTTGATCCAACTTCTTGCTAAACGAAGATTCATTTGATTCTTGGTCCTCTAGAAAATAAGGTGATTCATGGTGTTGGCTTTGAGTTGAATCGTCAGTCCTCCAAAAATCATCATCATATGGATCAGCATTATATAACTCATAGTAGATATCATTATAATATTGATATTGGCCCGAGTTTTCTCTCTCCCACCACATATCTTGATTCCTGTAAGTGTATTCCTCCATTCACGGCTGTCCCTACAAAAAAACAATAAAAGAGTAAATATTCTGAACTAGAAATAAAACAAGACAAAAAAATGTAATGACTACTTCAACACAATTGTTTAAGCGCACAATCTCCCTGGCAACGGCGCCAAATGTTGATCGAGGTCGTTGTCTCAATCAATAACAACCTAAAAAAACCACTAGATAGCTAGGGTAAGTAAGGGTCGAATCCATGAGGAGTTTTTGGTTAAACCTTCTGTTAAAATAGTCAAATGGTAAAACTGATGCTTGCAATTGTCACAAATTCAAATTAAACTAAAATAAACAAAACAACTAGAAACTTTATGTTGCAAAAGTTTGTTAAAACAAATACTATGAATGAGAAAACAAGGTACTTCCGGTTCAGTTGTTAAGATGATTAGACTTACACGTTTTTCGTCTCTTAAATTCCAATTTAATTACCTAGACATAATTAAGGTATATTAACATGCAACAAATAATTTTGAGCACACAATATGTTATCCCAACTATCTGTCATACTCTCTACGTCTAATTGGATTAGGAACAACTAGTGGTTTGGAAATAATGTGGCTTACGATTTCCTATTACAATGTTGAATATACAATACTACAAATACGGAATAATGTATGTAGGTTCAACTGATCATCTTAGTTCCTAAACTACTTGAATTCAGAATGATTAGTGAATTAACAATAACTATCTTAGTTGCAATATCACACAATAAGAAAACCCAACTCCAGTTAATATAAGTAAAAATCATAACTTTAAGAATGAAACAATAACGGAAATTGACTAGAATAAAAGTAATAATCAAAACGTGTTCATCCTAACATCCTACAACGTTCCCGGAAATAACCTAGGTGGTTTAGTCTTCCATAACAATCAAAAACCACACAAATTGAATAAAAACAATGGAATTCATATTAAAATTAATAAACAAACTTGAAATCATAAAACTAATAAATTCTAATGATCAATGAATCATGAAACGATGAAACCTTGGAGAAGAAGTAAACAAATCTGGAGTTTGATGGAATTGGTGATGATTCATCGGTTGAACGATCTTCAATCGTTAAATGATGATGAACTTGATGATTCGTAGCCTCGGATTTTGAAATTGATGATCAATAATGCATTTAGAGAAGGTTTGGAACCCTCCAAAACTGGTGAAAATTGCAGGGGAGAAGTGCAATTTCGATTAGGGTTAAATCTCCTTTAAATAGGTGCTGAAAAACTGATTTTCGGAGCTGTTTTCCGCGTCAATGTCATAGTAGGTGTCTTAGACGTCATATAGGACATCTGGGCATCCTTCAGGACGTTTTACAAGCCATCTTTCGTCATTGATTTTCACTTGAAAATGGCCTAAAATGGGTAGGCGTCCTATGAGGCGTCTTAGACACGTTCAAGGATGTCCCAAATTTTTGTTGCCCCTTTGTGGTGATGAAAACGTTAGAGCAGCAAAAACTCAAAACATTAAAGATGTATAAAATTTTATCGAGTTTCTGAAACTTCTTTGTTCATGTCAATCCGAGCTCTAGATCTTCGGATATGATCAAAACATTGAAGAGTGGTCAAATTTATTAGCACCATTTTTCTTCATTCTTTTAGCAATTCGTCTCCCATGCTTGTTAGCTTCATTTTGCTCATTTTTCTTGTGGGTCCACCCACTTTGGCAATAAATGTTTACCTACATATGAAGTTCAACAACTCATCAAAGTAGTGTCATTCTTCGACAATTATACATCAATTCAACAAATTTATGACAATTTAGAACATTCATAAAATGGACTTATCAACCATCTATGTAGGGATGGTAAGCCTTAGTGATATGGATTTAGGTTCCTAATGCCTATTGCATTATTTTCTAGAATTCAGACCAGATTGGTTTACTCTATCCGAAATGATAGATGTAGGTATGTTGTGTAGCTGGATTATTTCCTTAACATAAGTCCTGGCTAACTTCCCCATTTTGTCCGTTTCCTTAATGGATAGGAAATTGGCGGACTTAGTTAGATAATCATTACTACCTAAATCGTGTCATAACCACTAGGCATCTTGGGTATTTTTTTGATGATATATATGGAAACTTGCTCCCATTTCCACTCGGGTATTTTAGGTTGCTGTAATAAACCCGATGGTTTCTGGTATTCTGACTTGACCTTAGCACAGGTCAAGCAATTTATCATGTAGGTGCTAATTTTTGCCTTCAAGTTAGGCCAGCAATACATTTTCTTTAAGTTAAGGTACAGGTAATCAGATCCTGGTTTGACTGAGCATCTTGTCATCTGAGCATCGTCATGTACTAGGCTCCCCATTTCGCTAAATTTTGGTACCTAAATTAAATCCATACTTCATAAACATTCATCTACCTTGTTTTCTTCCTTAAGTGCCTCTACTTAAGCTTCTCATATTTGGGCAAGAACGTTTGATTGGATTTTTATTATGAGTGCTTTCATTTTTTGAGGTTTGAATCGTTCCTTTCTACTTAGGGCATTGGCTGCTACGTTAGCTTTACCCGGGTGGTACTGAATATCACCCTTGTAGTCATTCAATAGCTCAAGCCATCTTCATTGTCTCATGTCGAGTCCCTTTTGGTTGAATATGTGTGAAGACTTTGAAGGAGAAAAACAACTCCCAATTCCAAATCATGGGTGGTGTGATTATTCTCGTGAGTCTTGAGTTGGCATGAGGTATAAATGACCAATCTATCTCTTTACATAACAACACATCCCATTCCCTGATGTGATGTGTCAAACTAGAGGAGAAAGTCATCGGTTCCTTCTGGAAGTGAAGAAATGGCACACTACACAACATGTGTTTCAGCTTATGAAATGAAGATTCTTGTTGTTCTTTCCATTTGAACTTTGTATCTTTATGTGCAAGGGTGGTGAGAAGTTTTTCTATCTTCAAGAAATTTTCTATTAACCGCCTGTAATAGCCTTCCAATCCTAGAAATTGACACACCTCTGTTGGTATTGTGGATGCTTCCGAATTTTTTATGGCCTTCATCTTGGAGGGATCTACGTAAATACCCTTGTCACTAACCACGTATCCTAAAAAGTGTACTTCCCAGATCTAAAATTCACACTTAGAGAATTTCGCATACAAATTCTCTTTCCTTAACAACTCCAAAATGACTTGGAGGTGTTGACCATGTTCTTCCATTGTTTGTGAGTATATCAATATATCATCGATGAATACAAAACGAATTTATCCAAGTAAGCTTTACATACACGGTTTATTAGATCCATGAAGACTGCTAGGGCATTAGTTGTGCCAAAAGGCATAACCAGAAATTCATAGTGGCCATATCGAATTCTAAATGCTGTCTTTCAGATGTCCTTTTCTTGCACTCGAAGTTGATGATACCTTAACCTTAAATCAAATTTTGAGTAAAATTTGGACCCGTGTAGTTGATTGAATAGATCGTTAATCCTTCAGAGTAGCTATTTAATATTGATTGGCAACTTATTTAATTTTCAATAATCAGTGCACGTTTTGAGGGTTCCACCCTTCTTCTTGACAAATTACACCAGGGTTCCCCAGGGTAAGAAACATGGTCTTATAAATCCTTTATCCAAAGGCTCCTCAAGTTGACCAAACAACTCTTGCATTTCTAAAGGGTCTAATCTGTAAGGGGGTTTTGCCACTGGAGCTGCCCTTGGGACAAGTTCAATCGGAAATTCAACTTCATGAATTAGCGGTAGTCTGGGCAAGTCCTCTGAAAAAACATTAGGAAAATCACATACTTGGTGAATGTCCTTGCTTTTTTTCTTCTTTCCCTTCTTTTCTACAATGTGGGATAAGAAAGTGTGATATTTCTTGTTAAGGTATTTATTTTCCTTCATGCTAGAGATGATTCTATGGCTTTTGTTGGTCTTATCTCTGTGGATTACCAAAGCCTGCCCATTGGCTAAGGGCAATCGTACTGCCTTATTGTAGCATAAGATCTCATCTCAGTGTGGCGATAACCAATCCATGCCAATGATGACATCAACGATATCGATGGTCATGGGCATGAGGTAGATATGAAAATTATGGTTATTCAGAGTTAAGAGGAATTTGTTATTATTTCTTAAGTACTACGGAGTCTCCATTGTCCATTTCAACTATATAAGGATCATCTATGTTCCTAAACTTATGGATTAAAAGTTTTATAAACTTGGGTGGAATAAAACTTCTTTCCACACCGGAATGAATGAGTATAGATGCGTATAAACTGTTAACAAGAAATGTACTTGATACAATGGTGGGGTAATGCATGTCATCCTTTGCATCAATCACAAATGCTCTTCCCCAGTTGTTTCCTCCCTAATTCTCTGATGTTGGGTAGTTCCTTCTAATGTGCCCAATAATCCCACACTTAAAGGAGGCTCTATTATCTGGTAAGGCAACCTTGCATGGGTTGGTTGTAACGGTAGGAGCAGTCGCGGGCTGTCGGTAGTATCACTCGGTATGTCCTCTATAATTGCACCTTGCATAGTGCGTACAGTTTTCGAAGTGGTGCAAGTGACATGAGTTTCACTTCCGGCATTTTCCCATGTTCTATTCTTGGTATGCAGGTACTTTAGCCATTGTCGAGACCAGACTGATGGTATATGCCCTGATATTTTCATATCTCTTGTTGGGAGCTTGCTTGGAGGTACTCTTGAATCCATTTCCAAGTTTGCACTTGTTATCCCTTGACCTTGGGATGTCAGTATTCTGGACCAACGTTCCTCATCTTATTTCTTGTTTGGTTAGGCTGTAAGGCAACCTTTTAACACTATCGTATGTCATTGGTCGAGATGTTGTAAACAACCCTTGAATGAGTTGAACCAATCCCCATATCTACATTTCAACTTTATTGTACTTAGGGTACATAAGTTTTGGGCAAAGGGTTGAGAGGTTATTGAACCAATTAGTGTAGGTTGAGATTTCGGCATTGTTCATGGTCAAGTTCCACAACACTTGCTCTAGTTGTTGCATCTCCTCTTGAAGAAAATATTCCTCGATGAGCA